TAGCTACTCAGGAGGCTGAGGCAGGAGAATGACTTGAACCCGGGAGGCGGAGGTTGCAGTGAGCCGAGATCACACCACTGCACTCCAGCCTGGGTAACAGAGCGAGACTCCATCTAAAAAAAATAAAAGAAAAACAATACAAATAATACCTTTTGTCTCTACAATGACTCTTTTCCTGATAAGAGCGCTGTCCTCTCAGGTGGATCGTGTAGATGAGGAGGGAGGCCTTGTGAGTGCAGGTCTTGAGTGGGCCCATGGACAGAGTGGTTCTCGCCTGGCTCTGTGAGCTGACCTCACGGCTCTGCGTCTCCAGGTCTTCTGCAGTGTGCAGAGGCTCAGCAAGGCCTTCATCGACCTGCGCTGTGCTGGGAATATGCTGTTCCAGACCTGGATCGCCAGGGTCTACTGCTCCCCCAACCAGCATGTGTCCCTCCTGATGGACTTTGGCTTGGAGCTGGTGACGGAGCTTGAGGAGCGTGGAGATGTCACCGAGGTGCTGGAAGCGGTCTGCAGGCAGATGGAGCACTGCCTTGACAGGTGGAAGAGATTCGTGACCCAGAAGCGCATGGAGCACTTTTACCTCAACTTCTACACGGCGGAGCAGCTGGTTTACCTGAGCACCGAGCTCAGGAAGCAGACCCCCAGCGACGCTGCCCTCACGATGCTGTCCTTCATCAAAAGCCACTGCACGCTGAGGGATGTCTCGAAGGCCTCTGTGGGGTGCGAGAGTCAGGCTGTCAGGCTCCACGTGAGGACAGTGATGGAAGAGCTCCCGCTGATGCTCTTCTCTGAGTCCCGCCTGGTGGACAAGGTGAAGGTCATCATGGAGCAGTTCATGGGGTGCCTTCCTGCCTTCCTGCCTGACTGCTTTGACCTGGAGGCCCTTGGCCACTGTCTGGCTCACCTGGCAGGGATGGGCGGGCCTCCCGTGGAGCGCGTTCTCCCGAGAGGCCTGCAGGTCGGCCAGCCCAACCTCGTCGTCTGCGGCCACTCGGAAGTGTTGCCAGCCGCCCTGGCCATCTACATGCAAACCCGGAGCCAGCCCCTGCCCACCTACGACGAGGTGCTGCTCTGCACCCCGGCAACCGCCTTCGAGGAGGTGGCGCTGCTGCTGCGCCGCTGCCTGACCCCGGGCTCCGGCGGGAACAAGATCTACAGCCTGCTGTTTGCCGATCAGCTGAGCTACGAGGTGGCACGCCAGGCGGAGGAGCTCTTCCAGAAACTACGCACCCAGCGGCACCGGGAGGACTACCAGCTCGTGATGGTCTGTGATGCTGACGGGGAGCACTGCTACCTCCCCTCGGCCTTCAGCCAGCACAAGGTCCTCGTCACCCCCCAGGAACCCCTCGAGGCCATCCAGGCCTACCTGGCACGTCACTACCGGGTCCCGGAGCAGACCCTGTCGGCGGCGGCCGTGTTCAAGGACCGGCTGTGTGTTGGGATCGTGGCCTCGGAGCGAGCAGGTGTTGGTAAGAGAGTGGTGGGGTGGGTGCAGTGGGTGGGCCCCATCTCCCAGGGACTACCCAGGGCCCTTCCCCCTCCAGCAGAGGAAGCCTGTCTGCGGATGGAGAAACTGAGGCTCAGGGAGGGTGTGACTCATCTGTGGATGTCAATCAGGGTCTGTGCCAGAACCGGGCACCCTGATCACCTGGTCACCCACACTGGGCACTCTCTGAGAGCCGCATTCCCTTCCTCCTCTCGGCAAAGATCTCTGCAGTTTACTTTTTTTTTTTTTTT